ATCAGGGTAGTTCGGAGAACTCCAAGAACGTCCAGAACTGCCGAGAAGTTCAAAAATCGTTAAGGGTAAGTTCCGATTGTTTCAATGCAGTTCCGTAAATTTCAGGAAAATTTTAATAAATTTAGGTCGGTTCCATTACCTTCTGATAAAAATACCTGAACTTCACAGAAGTTCCCAAAACTTCAGTTGTGTTAAAATACCTTAATGGAAGTTACGTAGCTTCGGATAGTTCTGAGAGCTCATGAGGGCAGTTCCATGGTTATCAGGAAAATTGTGAGAACCTTTTAGAAGTTTCAAAAAATAATAAACGTATCAGAAGTGGCGAGAAATTAATGGAAGTGGAGAACACGCTTTCATTTGTTCATCGATTTCAAATCCGCATACGACGCAATCGATCGAGATCAGCTCTGGCAGATTATGCACGAGTACGGATTTCCGGACTGACGCGATTGGTTAAGGCGACGATGGATCGAGTGATGTGCGTTGTTCGAGTATCGGGGACACTCTCGAGTCCCTTTGAATCTCTAAGGGGGTTACGGCAGGGTGATGGACTTTCGTGTCTGCTGTTCAACATCGCGTTAGATGGTGTGATCAGAAGAGCTGGGATAGACACGAGTGGCACGATATTCAGGAAGTCCATCCAGCTCCTTGGCCTCGCCGATGACATTGACATTATGGCACGGAACTTTGAGATGATGGCGGAAACGTACATCAGACTGAAGGCTGAAGCTAGACGGATTGGACTTGCCATCAACACATCAAAGACAAAATACATGAAAGGAAGAGGTTCTAGGGAAGACAATGTTAGCCTCCCACCCCGAGTTCAGATTGACGGTGACGAAATCGAGGTGGTTGATGAGTACGTGTATTTGGGCTCACTGGTGACCGCCGAAAATGATACCAGCAGAGAAATTCAAAGACGCATTATGGCAGGGATTCGTGCCTACTTTGGACTCCGAAGGACGCTCCGGTCGAATAAAATTCGCCGCCGCACGAAGTTGACTGTCTACAAGACGCTGATCAGACCGGTGGTCCTCTACGGCCACGAGACCTGGACTATGCTCGTGGAGGACCAGCGCGCTTGGTGTTTTCGAACGGAAGGTGTTGCGTACCATCTACGGTGGAGTGCAGATGGATGACGGAACGTGGAGGAGGCAAATGAACCACGAATTGCATCAGCTGCTAGGAGAATCATCCATCGTCTACATTGCAAAAATTGGGCGACTACGGTGGGCTGCGCACGTCGTAAGAATGCCGCACGACGACCCAGTGAAAATGGTTCTAGAAAGCGACCCAACAGGAACAAGAAGAAGAGGCGCGCAGCGGGCAAGGTGGATCGACCAAGTAGAAGGCGACTTGCGGACCCTTCGCAGACTACGAGGCTGGTGAAGTGTAGCCATGAATCGAGTAGAGTGGAGACGACTTCTTCGGACAGCAGGGGACTACAAGGCCTTAGTCTGATTGGTAAGGTAAGTAAGGAGAAAACGCTGGGGAGTTTAGTTGATTTCATCGATAGTTTCATAAATTTCAGGACAAAGCCATGAATATTATCAGAAGAGTAGCAAAAACTTCAGGAAATATTAGAGAACTTCACGGTGGTTCTCAAAAAATGTAGTAAGAGGTTCCAAGAAAACACTGTGCATTTCGTGTATGCTTAAAATCAGACTGCGAGATAATAAGGGAACTTCTGTAAATTCACTTATTCAGCCATTTCATAGCAAGACGATATAGTGGTTCTCAGAATTTCGTAGAAATTGGTAGTTTTGTTCCTTATCGCAATATAATAGAACCGTATCATAAGGTGGATAAAAAATGGTTTTTTTGTCGATTTTTTTTTCAAAAATGGCTTAAATTCATAACATAACTACTGGGTTGATTTCCAAGATAAATATATTAAATGAAAGGTAATTAAAAGTACTTTTTAGGAAAATTAGAATTTTGTAATGAAAAGCATTGATTGTATTCCTTTTTTATGGTTTTCATGGTTTGTATACGGAGGGCGCAATATCCCAAATAGATTCTTCTGGTTTGCCCCCATATATTTTTTTAGCATTTAAAATTTTGTATTTAGCATGTGTTTTCTAAAAATTATCCATTTTCCGGAAAACCGAATCAGGTTCCCGTGAATCGGGTATCGGAAAACGTCAATTTTGGTAAATTTCCCGGAAGGTTCCGGGTAAGTAAAACTGCTCATTTTTATGAGCCGTTTTACTTAAACGGTAATTCCACGAAACTTTCTAGCAATGGAATGTATGGCCCCATTTAGGCTGATCAATTCCCAGATTCAATTTAATTCCCATTCTTCTCCAGCTTTGACTTTTTATCGTTTTTTTACATCTACTAAATCTGCTCCACCTATCCCCGAAACCAAACCGGCACTGTACAGCATCAACGTTCCGAACTGGCTTCCGATCCCCGAAGGCACACAGTCACACGCACACATAAAACTAGTTCCACAAAAGCAACACCCCCATAAATATCACCGTTACATGCGATTAATTTAATTGTAATTTATCGCACTTTGAGCGATAGATTTCACATGCACCATGTAGCTTCCGGCGGTGGCGACCCCGAAAATAATAGATTTCCGATCTACAACTGAACCAGCCACCTACCGTCGACGAGACCCTGCTGTTGGTCATTGATCACTCGCCTTGCTGGTCGGTCGCCGGCGGTGTTGGAAAACAATCGAAACTGTTATCGTAAGCTCGGCAAGCAGCACTTATCGAAACCAAACAAACAAAGGGTCCGATGGCAAATATAAACTGATAAGTCGTATCGGGTTGATGGGAACTGGCTTCGAGTGGCTGGCTTCGGTACCACCACACACGCTCTGAGTCGTTCCGGCAGATTAAAAGATTGGAAAATAATCAATTTCGGAGCGGAATTACAAGCCCGGGATTGTATGATTCGTGATTACATATTTATGGCGCTAATTTTTGACCACCCATCCCTGTTTGGGGGTTGGGTGGTGGGGGTCGGAATAAATCACGGATCGCATGTACACACGTACTCACATGAAATCTATTGCATCATTGATATTCATGAGGGTTTTGGGATAATCGTTTGGGTGGCTTTTATTTTGCATGGCATTTTTTCCCCCAATCGATAGATAAATAATTCCCGGCTCCCCGGTATGCGTGTGCCGTCCGAGGATGTCAAGTGTATTCCATCGGCGGTGTGGTGGGCTTTGGGCGGAATGCTTAAATTAGATAGGTGTTTATTTAGATTTCCATAATAATTTTCCGGGGGTGTGCGTGATTTTCGATAGTTTGGACAGTGAAATATCGGAAGTGTTGCGTTTAGGACTGGGGAAAATTTGGGGCAGCGGCAGAGCGTTTGCTGGCACCGCTAATTTACATTGTTAATTAGATTGGAGTGTTTGGGCGTGAACAATGAGCCTATCAAATTCTAATTAGTTTTGGAAAAATATAGGTTACCGATACTAAGCCGTTATGGTGTAGGAGTATTGGGATTGGAGGCATCCTGTTGGAGATTTTGTTCGTTTTCCTGGGTATTGAGGGTCAGAAAAATCTCATTTAATAATGATGGAAGTACCCAAAAAGCACTAAGTTTATGACAGGCGTGTATTTCCAGTTGGAATGTAATAGTTTATTATTCAAATTCGATTATTTGATTCCTCATCTGCCACTACAGCTTATACGTGTGCTTTCAGTAGTAAATTTATTCAATCGCCAATTTATACAATTCTTAATTAATCTTGCAATTTTGAAAATTCTTCTTCTTAAACAGCTAGGTACCGAAATGCCAACGCTTGTAAGATGACAGAACGGAGAGTTTTTTCCCTCCCCTTGTGGTAGGAAAAGTATAGAGGTACAAAGGACCAAAGTCCCTAAAGTGATTTACTAAAGCCTCTGCACTTTGGTCGAGCTTTGCCAAGCAGAATTTTTGCCCCGGAAGGTGAATCTCCAAGCAGGAAGCCGTTGCATGTGGAAGGTTGGGGAAGCAACATAAGAATGATAAACGGTTGTTACACAACGAGTGTCTTGGAGGCAGAATGAGAGACAGCACAACGATGCAGAAGAGGAATTGTTTTTTCCCTAGTTTGTAAGACGTATCGCAGAGTTGTGCGAAGGATGGTGGGATGGTTTTAGGGAAATGTTTGCCGCCTGACTCGTATGACGAGCCGAGGCCTCTCTACAAGTAAGTTGATGATGGTATGAGAATGGCAATGGAGGAAAGATGAGTGCTTCGTGATAAATGAATTCTGAATTTGGGTTAAAAACTGGGTGGAACGGGGCGGGGAAGAAATGTTTAACACGTCTTACATTAACACATTTTTAGACTGACACCGAGACCAGTGTGTGAAGGACTGGGATTTCCTGCATCCTCTTCCGGCAAAGATTTATGACTTCATGCAACAGATATCCCTGTGCCAAAGCCATAAGTCTTGGCATGGGTTAACATTCTTCACCATTGACATTTCGCTTTCGTTTGCAGGTGGCTGCTCACCCGAGTAATGGGACTTAGTTAGCATATTTCTGCTGCTGCCTACTTACGGTTCGACGTTACATATGCAAATCTGTGTACTGCATCTTGTTTGGGAATTGCTCTCGCTCACCTTCTGTCAAACGGGTTCATCAATCTTATTCCGGTTGACAATGGTGGAAATGCTCCATCAAAGGCACTAGCTCTAGGAAGTTCGCTCCAATGTACGCTCACACTCACATAAATCTTGCTGCAAAGCTCAACTTTTTCCGAAGTAAACTTTTTTAATTCCACTTTTGAATATTATAGCATTATAAAGTAGGGCTGTAAAACTTAATCAGCGAATCTAGATCTGCGTCGGCTGCTGATACAGAGCCCAACCTAGTGCTGCCGAGGGTTGGTTATTATAATCTACAGCTATAGTTTTCCACTTTAGACGAACTTTTTCTCCTGCTTTGGAGAAGGCTCAGGGGAAGAATTTCAAATCCAAATCTAGCTACATTGTATTTTCGGTTGTTTCACGGTTCTGTTCTCTGTTCCGTTTCTTTCAGGCGACACAGCAAGCACACTAGACTTCTCGGATAGGCCTACCCAACCAGATCGGAACATAGTTCCACTCGGCAAAAACGGGCAGAGAATGGTGAAGCCAATCACCGTTCACCGTTCACCGCAATAAGCTGTTTCCGACGCCTGGGCAATGACGTCACAGGCCGTTTACTGTCTTAGCCTGCAGATACGTAAGTAGCGGATTTTTGTTTCACTTGTTCTTATTGAAATGGTTTATACGCAAGTACCTCTTGAAATTATAGGAACATATTGTGATAAAAGAATCAGCTGATCGGTATGGTTTTGGATCCCTTGTAACGCTGCATAACCCCTTTTCAGTACCGTAGATTGGGGGTCATAGATTCTAGCTGGCACGAATCAAATTTACCGTGATAGGTATCTTTACACCCAAAATATTTGCGCGGCCATCATTCTTTACCATTTTTTTTCTCATAGTTTGGGGATTTTTTTTTACTATCGGACAAAATGGGCCGAACGTTTTCAGAATGCTATGAAATTTCAACCGCATCACGTACATTGAAATTCATATCTCATGAAACAAGCATCGTAGAACACACGTTTTATATTGAAACACCTCGTTTTCTAAGGACAAATTTACGCATTTTCGTGCACAAGACGCACGGAATTTTTGTTTTATTCAATAGATAATAAAAAAAGATGCTAATATTGACTGTCGAACTTTCTTGCTAAAATTTTTCAATCGTGAAATATTTGCGATCAATCATATAAACTCGAGATTTTTTTGCTTTTTTTCTAGCGTCCTGGAGAAAACCCTACCTTAATTGGAAGTTCTCTGGTTAATTGACAAGGTCATGTGGTATTCGGTCATTGCGAGAATTTTTGTGTTCCACTTCAATACTGTTCCGCATTTGACCACAAACGTTTGGTTGCTGGGTACATCATCAAAGAGCTTTGGGGATGATGTGGCTGACAGCAAGGCGAGTGAACGTTCCATGAAAATTAACTCCTAAACAACAATAATTTATGGTGGTCCTGAAAAGAACCGTTTTGTCGTGATGGTTGAGTAATGCACTATTAGGGTCTTCAACACGGATGAGACTGACTAGCACAGCGGCTCACGACGAGCAACTGAATCCGATCAGTAGCGGTGCGGCTTTTTCCTCCTTCTTTGGAGAATCGAGGGCTCTTTAGGGCGCCTTGATAGCTACGCGCCGAAATTACTGCTTCTGCTGATGACGACCGGACATTTCCACTCACCACTGATTGAATAAATTGGCGAGACCGGATGTAATTCGATTTTGAAATCTGTGTTATGGAATTCGCTTTTTGCAGGCAATCGGTGATCATTTTAAGTATCATAGCAACAGTTGCACATTCGTACAATTTTCAATAGTGACCTTTTGAAAATTGATAAAGTCTTAATTTTAACAGATTAGCCGCGACCGACTTTGGTTTTTGAAATTTCATCCCCAATGTTGCCTTAAAAATACATGGTATGTTAGATTTAAACTTATGGGAACTGACATCCGATTGATGACCTTGACAAATGTCCAGAAAATACTCTTTAACAAACTTATGGTGGTCCTGCAGAGGACCGTTTTGTCGTGATGGTTGAGTAATGCTGAGCTATTAGGGTGTTCAACACAGCTGTTGTTTGGCACGAAGGTGACGCGCTTGGAATAGATGCCCCAAAGCGACTCACAAGAGCTACTGAATCCGATCAGTAGCGGTGCGGCTTCTTCCTCCTTCTTCGGTGAATGGATGCTCATGTTAGTTGCACCTCGTTGCTTGCGGGCAGTCTTTCGTTGTGTACTGGCGAACAATGTTGAACACGACACGCCAAAAGCACTGCTGCTGCTGCTGATGATGACGGACACCACCACACACGGTGATTGAATAAGCACCGTTCGGTGAGACCGGGTAGAATTCGATTTAGAAATTTGTGTTAGAGAAAGCGCTTTTTGCAGGCAATCGGTTTTAATTTTGATCACCATTACAACAGTTGGACATTGGTGTAATTTTCAATAGTGTTATTTTTTGCAGATTTATCAAAAATTTCCAATCGATTGACTTGTTTAAAATTGAAAGCCATCGGCTATTGACAGAGTTATAAGTGGTCAAAACCTGACCACTTTTCGTAACGTGGTCGATTCTAGGGTTTTTTTTTTTTAAATTGCATCCCCAATATGTGTTTCTCTTTTGGGAATAAAAGCACTACGACCATGTAATTTGATCTATTGCAGTATATCCCGTGTTCGTACTCCATCACTATTGAGAAATTATGAAGTATTCGGTTTTGATACAGTTGTCATTTTTGCCCTTATCGCAAGGAATCGATTTTAATAGAAAGGTCCCGCTATTTATACCCTTCGAAGAGTGAAGGCACCCTTCAAAGGCGCCCACCTTCATATTATGGTCTTTGATCGTGAAAAATGTGAAAACAACGTCAAGTCATGCTAATTAATCGCATATCATCAGTCCCATTCTGGAATTCCACCGTCCAGAAATCCAGTCACCGGTTCTACTTTTTTGAATTACCATATTTTTCGTTGATATAACAAAACATGCAATCTTCATTGCATTTGATTATAGGTTAAAACAAATGTCAATAAATTTGCTATGATTTCTAAACTACTTACATGGAAATTTCATTTCGTAACTTTGACTGCCATTTTCGCAATGCATGCTTTATCCATATGGGACTGATTTGTGATTTTAGGCAGTATTCTTCTCACAGTTTCCATAAATTTTACTTTTGGGATTTTGGAGAAAATGCTAATAGAAGTGCGGAAGCTGCTTAGATTGACGAGAATACGTAAATTCCCCTATCTCGATTTCTGACAACTTTTTTTTTATATAAATTACGATCGTTATCTGGTTTTTTCAAACGGTTTAGTAGGCTATTATTGTTCTTTATCGAGATATGAAGAATGGACTGTATTAGATACACATTACGGAGTGTTATAATTTTTTCTTGCTCCGTGGTCACCATAAATTTTCCCTGGATTCCTATCATTTGATATCAAGTTGAAACTATGAAAACAATTTCTTATTTCAATCTTAGCGATCAGTCTAGTGACCTTAAACATTACTGTACATATACATAAATAAAGATTAGGGTGGGTCACCGTTACATGGAAAAATGTAGACTTCACCTCATAAAGCGAGAACAACCATTTTTTGGTTCCATTTGGGACCCCAAATAACTGTGCAAATTTGTAGACGATTGGCAGTAACTCGACTTTCCACATTGCGTTTAAAATGTGTATGAAAATTGGTGCGGTAAATCCTACTTTTTTTTTGCACATTCATCTCTAGAGACCACAATTTTGCTTAAATCATGCAACTAACCTTGTATAAATATAGTCTAGAAAATGCCTAACAACTTTGCACGGGGATGTATGGTGCTAGAATGTCTCTAAAAATGTTATAATTGTTCAAATATTTATGGTTTGAAAGTGATCCACACAATGAGCGGTACACTCCGTGTGGCGCAGGGAGCGAATATAATACAACAAGCGCTAATGTCTACTTTGAATTATTTGCAGACTTTGCTTACCATGACTGCGCTGTGTACATCCCACCCGACCGAAGTCACGACGTCGAAGTCATGGCAGCGCATATTGCCTCAGTCAAAGAGTTTCTTGTTTGTGGCGATTATAATCAGCCTCGTCTTCAGTGAGGAATCGATGACAACAGGGTCTAACTCACCGAAACATCGTTGATGGAATGGATTTCGTTAATCTCAGTCAACACAATACAGTCCGAAATGAACTAGGCCGCACGCTGGCTTTGGTATTTTGCAACGGTGAAAATGATTTCGATATCGACGAATCTGCTGTGCCACTTTTACCTATTGATGCTCACCATCCTTCCTTAATTCTGTCACCATCTCACCCAGCTTGCAACGTGTATCTTTTTGTTCAATACTGAGCCGATGTGTTTGAATGCATTGATGTTGATGAGATGACTGTGCGTTTATGTAGCATTATTCAACATTGGTTGGAATCAAATGTTCCTCTGAAAAGAAGACCAATTTCCCCAGCTTGGAGTACTCCTCAGCTGAGAGTGCTGAAGCTTGAGCGTAACGTAGTCCAGAGAAAACTACGTCGTGACATTAAACTTAACAGTGCCTTGTACAAATCACACGTCCTAAGAGTCCAGTGGAATTTGCGGCGTAGCCCCCGAAATTTTTGGAGCTTCGTCAACAGCAAAAGGAAAGATGCGAGTATACCGTCCAACATGCTACTCGATGGGAAAGAGTCCACTTCTCTTAGCGAAGCATGTGAGATGTTTGCTAAACAGATGTTTGCATCTGTCTTCGATAAAAATATGTCAAGTGACGGTGAAGCTTAATCTGCTGCCTCTGATACGCCTAGTGACTTAGTGGAACTGAGCACATTCGAAGTAATTCGGGATATGGTACATTCAGCAGCAAGGAGACTGAAAACCTCACTATCTCCTGGTCCAGATGGAATTCCGGCAGTGGTTTTCTGCCGTTGCCCAGCTGCCTTAGCTGAACCTTTAGCAGCCATATTTAATGCATTCTTTGAGCAAGGAAAATTCCCAACATTGTGAAAGCAGTCGTATATGTTTCCTGTTTTCAAATCTGGCAATAAACGGGATATGAAGAACTATCGAGGTATCACCAGTCTTTCGACAGTGTCCAAACTGATCATCTTGAGCGAATTTGTCCTGAATCTCTCGAAGAACTACATTTCAACTGACCAGCATGGATTTATTTCCGGTAGATCGGTAGCTACTAAACTTTTGGATTTCACCAGTACATGCATCACCGTGATGGAGGATAAGGCACAAGTCGACGTCATATATACTGATCTGAAAGCCGCATTCGACAAAATCGACCAGAAGGTTTTGTTATGCAAGCTTTCCCCACTAGGAGCGTCTGAGCAACTTAGGTCGTGGTTACTTTCCTACTTGACTGGACAAACTCTTCGAGTACGACTAGGATCTTGTGTCTCTTCTATGTTTTCCAGCACCTCTGGAGTACCTCAGGGAAGTAACCTGGGTCCACTTTTGTTTACGTTATTCTTTAAAGATGTAGCAGCTTTGTTGGGAGTTAAATGCAAGCTCGTTTATGCAGATGATCTTAAGCTATACGTCATAGTTCACCCGATTGAGGATTGTGATCGTCTTCAAGCTCTGCTAGATTTGTTTGTGGATTGGTGCTGTCGCAATAAGCTCATCA